GAGTCTGCGCTGTGGTAGGGGCAGAGTTCGGGGCTGGGGCTCACCCTTGTCCTCGATGGGGTTGTGGGACAGAGTGAGGGCATGCAGCACACAGCTCCCGTTCTCCCCAAACACCCCGGCCAGCTTCTGGACAAAGTCCCTTCAGGCAAGGGGAGGAAGGATTTGTTTGTCCCAGCCCCTGGGCTCCCCCTCCTCTTCCACTTGCCTGTCTGGCTGGGACTGCAAAGGCCAGAGGCCCCCACCGGTGGGGAGCAGCTCGGGCTCTGCCTGCCGCAGAGCTCGTCAGCACTCTGGAGCACATGAGAAGGCGTGCTGAGACAAAGCCCAGCTTTGGGTCCTTGAGGTTAGAGAAGCCCACCCTGCTTGGTGGTTGATGGAGCATGCTGGGGGAGGCCATGGAGCTGGGGGTCAGGAGGCTTAGGTCTGAGTCCCAGCTGGGCCACTGGCTTGTTTTCTGCCTCTTTGGGCCTCAGTCTCCTGTTCTGTAAAGTGAGGAGCTGGATGAGATAGCTCAGAAGCCCGTACCATGCTCTGAGGTTCTGGGGCCCTAAGACTACATCAAGGGGATGCCGCTGCCCGAGGAGGAGGCTGGCCTCACGTCTTAAGTCCGGCGTTGTCCAGTACCAGCTCTTCGAGGCTCCCCGACTTGCTCAGGGTGTGTAGCACCTGTTCCAGCACTTCAGAGCCCTGCGGACAGAGGGGTGCTGTGATCAGGAACCGGAGAGGACACTGCTCACTCCCACTTCTCCCGCCACTCCTAGTCCCTACCAGCCGCAGGTCCTTGCAGTAGAGTTTGGTGAACCACTGGTTGTAGGCCAGGGCTGCCACCATTAGGGCCAAGTCTCTGTGGGGAGATTGGAGGGGGTAGAGAGTGGTGAGCAGGTGGTTGGGCAGGAAAGAAGAGACTGGGGATGGAGTGGTTGGGCCGGGGAAAGCCTGGAAAGGTAGAAGGCCATGGTGGGTGGGTTGGGGAGAGAGAGCTGGGACTGTGGGAGGGACGAGAAGGGCATTTGGGGTGGTGGTGGGGAGTCTCTACCCCATCAGCTTACCGGCTCTCCAAGTGGCTGAAATCCAAAAGATTGAACTCCCGGTTATCCTCGGCATGATAGATGGTGTCCACATCCTTGGAGAGGTGGAACCGGGTCACACCCGCTCCTCTCCTGCTCCGACACCCCCTCCCTCCAGGTCCCACGTGCCCAAGTAGGGCCCTGCCCCACTCACCCACTGCACCTCCTCGCGGCAGTGCAGCCCGTTGTAGTCACACAGGGCAGCGTAGGTCTCAGAGAAGCCACCTGTGGGGCAGTAGATGGGCTGGCTCCACAAGGGGCAAGGGGTTGAGGAACAGGTTTGGGGGGCAAGGAAAAGTCAAGGTCACTTTATGTGCTAGTGTCCTGGGTTCCTGCTACGTCATGAACCTCTGAGGTCTGGGAGCTGTGGAGTCCTCCAGGCAGGTGAATTCTCACGTGTAAAGGGCTCTGGACAAGGGGCAGGGTGGCGTAGGTCCCACTTCTGCCAGGTCTGCCCCTGCTCACCGCAGACACTGTGAGTGGTCGACGTGGAAGTCTCAGAGTTGGGGGACGTGTCCCGGGGCCCTTCTGGAGTGTCTGCATTTCCACGCCGGATCAGACACCTGGCAGGTGAACAAATCCATCCCAGAAAGAGGTGAAAAGAGGCTCTCAGTTCTTCCCGTTATGGCTTCTGGATCCCCAGGAGAAAAACAGGAGCAGACACAATGTTGTTCTGTTCCTGGGTGTCCTAGGAGCTCAGGTGCAGGGGAAGGAGAGAAGGAGGGGAGGAAGAAGTCTCCTTGTCGTCCAACCCCGTGAGAGATTCCTCCTTTGCCACTCACCCAGGGCCAGGGCAGACCTTGGAGAGGGCAGAGCTCACGTGGCGTGTCACCTGGTCCACACTCTCAGCGGATGGCAGCCGCATGCTCACCATGCCACGCTCTGTCTCCACTAGGATCTGGGGGTGAGGGAGCAGCAGGGCCTCAGTTATCGGCTCCTTCCTCCTGCTGGCCCAATAGGGGGCCCCAGGCCCTGGTGCTCACCTGGTTCTGACTGAGCGTGTTGAAGGCCCGGATCTCCAGGACATTGAAGGAGCTTTCCACCTGGGGGTGTGGGGATGCTCAGCTTGTGGTAAGGGTCTGGCTGCCAGGCTCGGGAGGGAGCATGCCAGGTGCTCTCCCGCTCCTCAGCCCAACTCACCTTGGCTGGGACTTTAAGGGGGAAGAGGTGGAGGCGCCAGGAGGTTAGGGCCTTCAGAGAAAGGAAAAGAAAGTCAGCAGCAAATGGCAAGTTTCCTGGGCATTGATACCTCCTTTAGCCCCTCAGCCTGTGTGCGACCCTGCCAGTAATGACCCTCCACTTTAGGGATCCTCTCTCTCTCTTTCATGCCCCATCCTAATCTCCTGGATACCCACCCATCCAGCCTGCCCCTCTCCCAGGCCATTTCTCCCTAGCTCTTCCCCACCTCTGTCTCCCCTGCCTCTCAGGCTCTCTGCTCTCAGCAGCCCAGCTGCCCTTGATACCTCCTGCTCCCAAGCCTAGTGCCCTCACCAGCACTCGGTCCTCAAACTTCTTGGGCTTCGTCTCCAGCTTCACACGGTGTTGTTGGAGCACCACCCCTTGGCTCAGGCACCTCCGGATGCTGTCTGCAGGTGGGTAGGGGCCTGCTCAGAGCTCCCCTTACCCTGGCCACCGCACCTCCCGAGGGCTCTCCAGGGGCAGGGGCAGGGGCAGACGGGAGTAGAGAGAAAAGAGAGACAAAGAAGGATAGGGACACAGACCTTTACTTCTTGGATGACTTTTCTCTTCCTATTAGAGAGGGAGAGGAGTGTGGAGAAAACTGGCTCCTGATGTTCCTGAGTTAAGGGACAGTCACTGAGTGACACTTCTGTGGGAGGGTGTGTCTTACACTTCTGAGGGTGAGAAGGATTTTCCCAACCCATTCACTCCAACAACTGTCAACCCATACACAGTGAGTCAGTGTGGAGGGGTATGGGGTGTCCCTTTGACTATATATTCTAGGTGGTCTGGGTGTGCGTGTCTACCTTTTACTACACATGTGTGCGTGCCTTCTGAGGATGCTACGGAGCTGGTCTATGGCACTGGTGGGGATGGGTAAGTGTGAATGAGTATGCTGTGCTCGCAGTTGTGAACAGGGCATGGAGCCAGAAGATTCTGGTGTGTGTGTGGGGGTGGGGTGGGGGAGTGGGAAGGAGTTAGTGTTTAAATAAGACCGTACCCAGCCAGATATCCCTGAAAGAGTGGGGTAGGGGAGAGAATGAGAGGTGGAGGTGCAGGTGCTATAAAGACGTGTGTACACACAGCGTGTGTTTGTGCTTGTGTGTGTGTGGAGGTGGGGGAAATTGTGAAGGTGCAGCATGCCTGAGTATCCTTGAGCGTCTTGGTCTCTGCGTGGGCTAGCCTGTGCTCCTGCCTCTGGGGGTCAGGGTTGTGGCAGTGCTGGGGGGTGGGGCCTTGTTTTGGGCTGAGTCTTAGGGCCATGCAAATACAAGAGGCCTTGAGGTGTGTGGGTGTAGGGTAGCGAGAAGAGGGCAGGCTGGGACGGGGGGCTGTGGGAGGCGAGTCGCAGAGACCCTGCTCTTGCTTTTAGCTCCAAACCAGGCCCTCTTTCCTGATTCTCTTTTCTGCCCCACTGTCTTGGGCACTGCCAGGCAGCTAAGGGGGCTCTCTGGGGCCAGTTCCGGGGCGGGGCCGGGAGAGGGAGGATGTGGAGCAAGCCACGGTCAGGACCAGGGGCAGCTCCCATCGTGCGGCGGGGCGGGCCTGGCTCCGCCCGGCGGGGAAACGGGGACTCTCAGGAGGGGAGACTAGGCGCCTTGCTGAAGGGTGGGTCAGCACTACTGAGAGTCAGCCTTAGGGAGGGCAAGGGGACTGCATGGAAGATCGGCACAGGCGGCTCCGGGACAGTAAGGTCCTGACCAGGTGAGGCGAGGGGGCCAGCAGAGGATGATGCTCCGAGGACAGATGCCCAGAGCTGAGATGCAGGGGCAAGGGGTTGTCTTGCAGCCTGGGTGCTGGGGGGTGGGGCGGGGTGGCGGGAGGCACCGGGGCTGGGGTGTGCCGCGGAGAGGAATGCACTGAGTCTGGGAAGCTCCCAGACCGGGCGTCCCGGAGACCACCGCAGCCTCGTACCTTGCAGCTCGCGGGTGAGCTCCGTGCTGGACTTGGCCATGGCAGCCGCTGTTGCTGCCACTGCTGCAGAGGAGCCGCCGCCGCCGCCGCCGCCGGGGAGCCGCGGCACATGCTAGATCCGGCTCCGGCAGGGCCCGAGCGCTGAGCGCTGCAGCAGCCGCTGAGCCCGCTCCTGTCAGGGGCGGCTGCGCGAGCGCTCCAGCCCCCGCCTCCCAGCGCCAGGTCCCCCACCCTGCCCAGGGAAGTGCCGGACTGAGCATGCGCTGCGCCTGTGGGCCGCGTGAGACCCTGCGCGAGCTCGTGCCCACCCCTCCTGCCGGCTCCCTCGTGCGTCGTCCTGTGCGTGCTACCTTGAGCCTGGGCCGTCTCCCTGGCGGGGGACATCGTGCCACACTCTCCGGGCACCCTGAGCAAAACCTATCTTGTTTGTGGGCCTGGGTACCCCAGGTCATCCTTGCAAGGTCTGTCCCTTTTCATGTTTGTTTGGGCCGGTCCATCTCGCCCTCGCTAACCTGAGAGGGAACTTGGGGTCCAGGGAGAGGACTTGGCCATATCTGGGGGGGTTCGTCCTTCCTTTTCTGTTCACCCAGCCTTGGGGATCCCTGTAGCGCCGTTGGCACCATCCCTGCGGAAATAGCACCTGGGAATTCCCCTGCCACCTCCTTCCAATTGGTAGCTCTGCAGATGCTTTCATCCCTGAGCATCAGGCTCAGATCCTGGAGACAAGGGAGGAGGATTAGAGGGACCCAGACATCCAGTCCACTCAGACTTATGCTCTATGCTCAGCTACCACACCTGTGTACGCCGAACTTAAAAAAAAAATCCACAACAACACATTGATTTAAAATCACCATGATCATCTACATTTTATTTGTACCTCATTTGCAGATTGTTAAGTTCCAACCTTCCTGCCCCCTCTTTCAACTCCAGGCTTCTGCCATTTCCCTCAAATTTCTCAGTTGGAGGGTGGGGGGTGGGGTAGGGAAGGGGATGCATATATATAAAATTAGTTGGTCTTTGTCAGGGTAAAGTCAGCCTTCTCAGCAGGCCTGTCTTGTGTCCTCAGGGGAAGTCTTTATTCAAGGCTAGGGCAACAGCAGGAACCCTCATAAGACTAAACCTTGACAGCAGGAAAGGCTGGATCTTGTCACAGGGCAGAATTGATTTGGGGGAGGGGTGGGGGTAGGGTATAAGGGGAGCAGTATGTTAGGCAGAGGTGGGAAAGGCCAGTCCATGAATGCAGGAACTGGACCAGACGTTGGAGCCCAATCTCTGTCCTTGCAGGCTCTCTCCAGGTACTCAGAGGTGGGATGGAGCCCCTCCACCCACTACCACTGTTTCCCCAGTGATGTAGCTGGCATCTTCGGAGCACAGGAAAGACACAATGCCTGCACAGTCCTCTGGCTTGCCTAGCCTAGGGTATAGGGAAAACAAGGAAGGGAATAAAGATTAAAGAGGCCAGGCCCACTGACCTGGCCCACAGAGAGTGAAGTTTGTTTGCTTAATCAGAAAGTATCAGGTGATTTTTCAGGACCAGTGTACAAGTCCATCAAATAGGGGTATCATGATGATAAGCTGTTATAATTTAGTATAAGCATAAACATCATACTCTGCAAAAGCCACTATAAATGATATTAAAATAATATAGAGATACTTAGTTCTTTAGAGCAGGGGCCCCCAACCCCCAGTACTGGTCTGCAGCCTGCTGAGAACCTGGCCAGAGAGCAGAGCTTGCCCGAGTTACGCCTTCATACCCCATCCCCACCCTGTCTTTCACAAGAGAAACTGGTACTAGTGCCAAAAAGGTTGGGGACTGCTGCTTTAGAGAACTCAGGACACCAAAATCCAAAGTTACACAGATACACTGGTGAGTAGCTATTTCATACTTCAAAGAATTTGTTTCACACGTGTGCATGCTAGTCAAGCGTCAGGGAGTCTGTGACAGTAAGTGGTTTGTTTAAAATGATTCCATTTGCACAGCTTCAATTCACAGACAGCTTTTTCAGGAATCTATTTTTGTCCCTTAGAGTCAGGTTTGTTTTGTGAGAATGTGCTAATTCTCAGTGTTGGTATCAGTGATTGCATAGCTGGGAACACTTGAACATAACTGCCGTAAAATGCTCTGGAGGTGGGGCTGAGTGGGTATCTCAGACCCAGAAGGCTTGGATTAGTGGTTCTTCATCCTGGTTGCACACTGTAATCATCAGGAAGGCTCAACACCCTGCCTCACCAAAGATGGGCCTCTGAGGTGGCAACACCCTGACTAATTAGTGAGTTGTGAGCTAGGCCTGCAGCTCACGCTTGTCAGAATGGCTTTGGGAGCATTGGAGGGGCCTCCTTCCTTAAGCAGGCTTTGTTTGCACGAGTAGTCCTTGAAGGACAAATGGGGAAGTTAAAGCCAAGAGAGTTCCCAGAAGCCAGAAGTTGGAGAGAGGTAGGGAACTTAGAGGAAAGGGAGACAGATGAAGGTACCTGACCAGTTCATCCAGCCCCTTGGGGAAGGGGCTGGTTTTCTTAGGTAAAGGGAGTCCTGGGACTCAGTAAAAGATCTTCATTCCTTTTATTTGGATTGCAGGGTCATCAACCCGAGCTTTGAAAACATGACTCTATTCAAAGAGAACTAAAAAAACATGTTTTGGTTTTGGTCCCTGGGAGCTCGGGGTGTCTAGAGGTGTAGGCAAACAGCCAGCTGGGGAGAGGAGTCAGGGCTTCTCCCAGAGCTCTTCTCTGCTGAAACCTGGGCACCTCCTCGCACACACCCCACTCTACTGAGGCAGTGTTCACGAGCTTGTGAAGTGCGTGCTTGAGGCAGAGGAGAGCATGCCCCTGCTGTACACGGGACCCAGAGACACAAGATGTGCGCTGGGAGAGGGACCAGACCTTTCCATCTGCACCCCTCTTCACTCTGTGACAGCCTTACCTTTGTATCCGCAGGGCTTCTTTTATCGTCTCCTCTCTCGCCTCGTCCATCCACAACTGCAGGAAAAGGGACTTTGTTTACGTGAAAGAAGAAGGAAGGGAGGGACAGGGAGGGGAGAAACTGTCCGCTCTCACGTCACTTGAGAGGAAGGGTGGAGAGACGCCCTCTTTCACCTCCTAGTCCTTCCTAGCCCCCAGTCTTTTCCCACAGCCTTCTCCTGTTTCATCCTTTTCAGATTCTAGTGAGGCATTTCCCTGAGTCTTCCCAGTTTCCACCCACTTACGCAGATATGGACCGGTGTGAACAGTCTGAATTTCTCAGTCTCCACTGCACTCCTCAAGAAAGGAGCAGGTCGCCCTGGCTGGGTAGCTCAGTTGGTTAGAGCACTGTCCCGATATACCAAGGTTCAGGGTTTGATCCCCTGTCAGGGCACCTATAAGAAGCAACTAGTGAAGACATAAATAAGTGGAACAACAAATCGATGTTTCTCTCTGTAAAATCAATCTATCAATAAAAAGAAAGGAGTGGGTCTGGTCTGGACAGGTGGCTGGCCTGGAGGGGGACTAGAGAAAAGCCTGGGGAGGTGGGCAGGAGTGGTTGGGAGCTCAGGACCCAGGCACCAGGGTTCCCCAGCAGGATGCAGGACTCCCCCTCCTCACCATTTTGCTGAAGTTAGTCTTGATGAGTCCGGGCGCCAGAGCGTTTACCCTAATGTTCCTCTGGGCCAGCTCTATGGCCAGGTTCTTGGTCAGGCCCAGCAAGGCTGTTTTACTAACATTGTAAGGGCCCAGGGTCTGGGGAAGGAAGAAAATGGGTTAGTTTCTTTGTTTCTGGTTCTTTCTTGGTTATGATGGAAAGATGTAAAGGGCAGTGGATAACACGGCATCTTCTGTAAGGGAGGGTTCCCGGTAGAAAACTGTCTTGTGGCTGAACCTCCCCTAGGTTGGGGTTCATGGGGCCAAGGCATCTATTTATGGAAAGGGGTTTGGAGGTGTGATTCCAAAAGGGACACAAACTTCCTAGTATGACAGGAAGGGTGGAAAGGTGCAGGATGGGGGAAGGGAAGGAAGTAGCAAAGAATGGGTTCTTACAGGAAACGGGCTGTAGGCTGCTATGGAGGTCACAATCACTATTGAGCCACTTCTAGAAAAGGAAGAGAATGTCCCATTTCCCCGAAGAGACACCCCCGCCCTTAGGCCACATGCGGCCCGTGGTACCCAGGCTCCCTCTCATTCTCTGTACCCTCGTTTCTCCATCTCTGGCACCACTGCCTTTGTCATCAGGGCTGTGGCCTTCACATTAATGTCCAGAATCTGAAACAGAGAGAGGAAGGAGAAACGGCATGAGGGGAGAGCGCTAGAGAGGGCAGGAGGGTGAGGAGTCATAATAGGGTCCCTAAGATCTGCTTGTTAGGGCTGGCGGGGATCTTAGAAATGACTTCCCGGACCTTGTCAGTGAAGAGGCCAAGCTCAGGGAGAAGTGCCTTTCACCAGCTTGTTAGGCTCGAGAACGAAAGATCAGGTTTGGGTGAGGAAGAATGGAGCCTGCTTCACCTAGTTTCCTAGCAGCCATGCACTTGAATGATTTGGCCTAGAACGGACCTGAACTCTCAGGACTACTTTGGATTTCAGCTGGATTTTCTGTGTCTCCTCTGACACGAGAGTGTGGGATTAGGTTGGTCTCCTGGGATCTGCCAGGGCGCGGGCCGTGCTTCTCTGGAAAAATGTGGCCTGACCTCTGACACGTGGAGCGTTCCAGCACCCCCTGGCCCCTGAGTTCAGGGAGTGAGATGCTCTTGGCCCTGCAGGATGGACTGCTGGGTGGACATTTGTTGGAAAGTGGGATCACGAGGAGGCATTCTCGGGGAGTCTGGGGCACAGGCTGGAACCAAAGCCCCACATCCATAATGGAAAACAAGCGCATGACTGTTCACATGGCTCTAGTTGCTGCTGGGTAGTTGCTCCCCATGCCCCTCAGCCAAACTTCTTACTTTGAAAAACTTCACTTTTACAGAAAAGTTGAAATAGAAGTACAATGAATATCTTTCCCTAGATTCCGCAACTGTCCCCATCTGCCCCATGTGCCCCGTCCATGTGCGTCTACAGCTTCCTGTCCCCGAGGCGCTGGAGGCTGAGTCGCAGGCGTCACAAGGCTCTGACCCTAAATACTCACGGATGTTCCCTTGCAGGCCACAGTCCATGGTGACCACCGGGAAACCTACCGCCGAGAATGACGGTTTTTACCGAAGGTGCTGTCCACGATAAAGTTTCCCCAACTGTCCCCCAAGTGCCCTTATGTTAAAAATCCAAGGTTCAATCAAGAATCAGCGCCAGCATTTAGATTTGAGGTACTGTGATATTTTTTAAAAATGCAAACTAAACAGAAAAATTACTTGGTTTAAAATTGTTTTCCTGTGGGCTCCATTCAGACCGCTTATGAAAGATGACGTTTCTCTGCTTTAAAGAATATCAATGAGGAACTAACTCACTGTGGAGCATTTGGCACTTTGGTCTGTGTCTGTGAAACACTGATAAAACACAACATTTTAGGGTTTTGAACTTCAAAGTCAAGATATTATTGATGACATCAGAAGAAAAAGCAAAACCATGGGCAATCCCCAAACACCTAACATTTCCAAATCATGAGGGAATATTAACCTTAATAAACAAAGACAAATAATTTAATTAATGCTTTATAATTAAAAAAATAGGTGTGTGAAACATATTATAAACAGGTCATTTCACCAGAATTGGTATTTCACTTAACTAGCAGCAATTAAAGTTTTCCAGCTAATGAGAAGTACTATTTTTTTGGCAGCTGAAAAAAGGGACGGGTGGTGTGCAAATTTAAGTGTATTAGCTGTCGGCGGATGAGCTGCCACGTCTGCTGGAAATTAACTGGGAAGAAGAGCCCGGGTGAGCCTGGATAAGGGCGGAGTGGCGGCGAGGGTATAGGGAAGGAGGCAGTCAGCAAGGAGCAGATGGAAGCAGACAGAACTGGGAGAAGCAGCAATGAAAGAGATGGGCAGGGAGAGAGGAAGCCACCCCCCAGCAAGCCTTCACCAGGTGCACTCCAGGTGCACGGTGAATTGCAAGGATCCTTCACATTTACATTGCACTTGACAAACGCATTCTAAAAGCAGGCTGAGTTTTTGCTGTTTCCCCAGGCCCCCTGCTGCATTAATCCCCTCTTACCTTGTCCCACACCTCCTCAGGGACATCCATTAGGTTTCCAAAGAAAGGGTTGACAGCGGCATTGGAGACCAGGATGTCGATGCCTCCGTGAAGCTTCACAGCCTAGAGAGAGGGAGTTGGGTCTGAATCGGGGCATCGGGTCAGTGGGGGAGGTGCATTTATCGATGTTGACAAAGAATTCCTTGTTAGGAACAAAATGCTGGCAAAATGACATCTCTGTTTCTTGAAACATTTTTCTCCAAAGCTGCCCTAACCTTGGCTGCTGAACACTTAAGGTTGTCTAATTGGGGGGGGGGCATCTTTTCTTCTAGCCCCCACTTCTTTTAAGGCTGTCGCTGACCCTTTACTCTTTACACTTTCTCTTTGGGGAGCTCCTCTATTTTCACGGCCTTGCTGTCCCCTCAAAATGTATTTCTAGACCTTTCCTCTTTTCACACCCATTTCTCCAAGTGCTTACTGTTACCATTATCTTAAACTCAACCAGTCCACACCTGCTACAATAGAGAAACTGGTTTAAATAGACTACAGAAAGTTACCATGGGCAGCAGGGGGTGGGGTGGGGTGGGGTGGGGGCTCTTAGGTCATCTAGCCCCATGTCCTCATGGTGAAGGTGATGACACTGAGGTCCAGGGAAGTTAATTTCTCAAGGCCTTATAGCTCAGTAATGACATGTTAGGGCCAGCCAAGAATAGGAGGCCTTTGGTCTTTGGGAGAGGCAAAGGGATTTGCTCAGGGCACAAAACTAGCTGGTGGTGGCAGACCTGCAATCAGTCTGATGGGGAGCACGGCAGTCTGGGCGTAAAGCAGTTCCACACTTGGCTATAATGCCATCCCCCATCCCACCTTTCTTTTAGCTTGGAGGCATATAAAATTCAAGGCAGAGCTGAGACTGAAACTGGGAAAACCAAGAAAGGAAACACCTCACCTCCTTAATAAGTTGTAAGGAGGTGGTGGCAGTCATGTGCAGATTAATGAGTGGCCAGAGAGTCTGCCAACAATACACTACCCTGAAACCAGAGTTTGCATTTGTCCAGCACTGGCGATCTTGACCCCTGGGGCAAGCATCAGTAAATGGGCCCTCGGTCAGCTTTGTGCTTCACGATTTGGGTCAGGGAGGCGTGTTATTAACAATGTGTACCATCTGCTAGCTCCCATTTTAACTAATTATTCTTGCTAACTAGGTGCAAAGCTCAGATGTTTCTATACTGCTGAAGGAACACCTGAGCTGTCAACATGTAAATTTTGCAAAAATTTGAAATCACATAATCTTTTAAAATCAGTATCAATACTTTCTTGGGATCTTTAAATCTTGGTGTCCTGGAACAAAGCCCCAGTCACTTGGCTCTGCCGAAGTTTGGCCCTGTGATTAGGAAATTGCAGAATCTGTTAGAAAGTGATGAGTGCCCTGCACATGTCTGTTTGAGCGTGGGGAGAAAGTGGGGGATTGCACCAAATCACCTGGAACACTTTTTCATTTCTGCTGTGCATCTCGGCCTCCTCTCCTTCCACGCCGACCAGTGCAGAGAGGGGAGGAGGCTGGGTTTTGAGGGAACAGAGATGAAGAATCACAGAAGATGAATGAGAAAGGTTCTCTGACTATCTAGCTGGTGCCTTCTAAGCCTTTCTCTAAATTGTGCCATCACTACACAAAAGTGGTTAAGCGCTGTTTGCTCTGTGTTCTGATAGGTCCATTTTTTTTTAGAAAAAGCATAATCAAGTGGAGAAGCAGCTGATCTGGTTTCTGCTCACCACACTTTTGAGAAGTTTCAAGGTGCAGACTGGGCGGCCACTGGGTAGTACCCACCCTAGGGGCGGCAGCCTTCCTCACTGCAGGGTGACAGCAGGCAACAGACAACACATCTCAAACTGCACACGAGTGACCTGCTGTTCTCCATCCTGACATTGCCTGGAGAGTCATTTTGACTCCTTCTTCTAGTTTCCCATCTATTTGTTGACACCAGGTTAGACAAAAAATCTTGGTTGGTCTCCACTAAACGTCTCTGGGCATGCCTATCCATTCTGGTCCCACCACCACTGCCCTAGACCTGAATGACAGCAACTTCCTCGTTGACGTCCCTGGCTGAGAGCTTTCTCTACTCCAATACATCCTTCCTGCCAGTGCCAGATTCTGTTTTTTATGACCATGTTCATCTTGCTCAAAACCTTGCATGGCCTCTTATTTCCTATACGGACATCCTTGCTCCTTTGGGAGACTATGGAGGCCCCTGTGCCCTCTCCTTCCCACCAGCCCATCACCCCAGCACTCCCGAACCTGGGCTCTCAGCTGGAGGCTGACAGTGCTCCCCTCTTCACTTCAGTCCACCCTTGGCTGTCTGCCCATTTTGCCGGGTCATCTGGAATCCCATCCTATTCCATCTTTCTATCCCACCCACTCCTCAAGGTCTTGCGCAAGCCCCACCACTGGGCAAGGGCTGCAGGATAGATGGGGTGAGAGGTGGTTTTCCTGGCAGGACTTTGACATTAAGTTGCTATATACATTTCGAACGACTAGTCACTAATTGGCCCAGGATCCCAGATAGCTCCCTTCACCCTGAGGTTCAAGGTCCCGAATCTCAGGTTCTGTCCAGCAGCCTGTGGCAGAGAAGGTGACCTTCTTGGACCTATATTTGGCTCCCTCCAATGTGCATTCGAGCATTCCCAAATGGTTCTTTAAATACGGATAACCTTATGCCACCTACTGTTGTTTAACACCCCCCTCTCCTAAGATTACCGGCATTATTGCTGCCAGCCTTACCGGCATTATTGCTGCCAGCCTTCCAGCAGCACATTCCTGAACTTTCCATTCTTGGGTAGATTCTCCCTTCCACTCCAGGGAACAAAGAGTAGGCACTGAGCCCAAGAGGAGGGGGTGCTCCTTTGCTGGATATTCATGTTTTCTTGTGTAGCTGGAAAGCTGGTGCCAGGCACCAACTCTGATGCTGGCTTAGACACTGTCTTTGAGAGTAAGGTCCAAATGGGCATCCAAGGCATGACCTGACGATAATGGGGAAATGCCTGGTAGCTTGGCAGGCCTGGGTTGACTCCCAGCTCCTTTCTTACTGGCTGTGGGACCTTGGGATATGGCTCCATCTTTCTGAGAAGAATGCGAACAGGGAGAATGGTCCTTGCCTTGTTTGGGCTGTGTCAGGTTTGGAGGTAACCTATGTAAGCCTCTGAACACAGTGAATGGCACACAGTAGGTGGCTGAAACATGGTGGCCGCCTTCTGCAGGTTGCTAGAGACTGCCTCTACACCGAGGGACAGGGCATGGATTGCTGATTAGCTCACAGGTGGGAACATCTGTTTTGTGACTGTATCTACCTTTCTCATCTGCCCAATTAGACTGGAAACTAATGGAGAACCAGGACCTGCTGTTTTTCTGGGTGCACCTAAGGGCTGATGCAGGGTTGAAGCACCGATTCTCTGACTGGGATGGGATGGTTCTGGAGACAGAACAGAAAGGCACACAATAAAAGTGTGTGGACGGACTGGAGTGGGTTTGCAGAGTACGGTGTTATGTTTTAGTTGATAGTGCTGGCTTGGACCACATCAATGTCCAGGAAAGCAGGGAAGGAGGCTTGGGCTGATGCCCTTCTGCCACTTCCTGGCTCTGTGCCCATATCCTTGCTGCTCACCATGGCCACCAGCCGCTCCCGGTCCTCAGCCTTCCCCACGTGGCACACAGTGCCAGTCACACTCAGCCCCTCCCGCTGCAGCGCTGCCACCGCCCGGTCCACGTTCTGCTGCTTCCGGCTGCTGATCACCACATGGGCCCCATCTTGGGCCAGACGGCGGGCAATGGCCAAACCGATCCTGTGGGCAGAGAGAAACATGGACTGTTAAGGCCAAGTACCAGGAAGAGGTTGAGAGCATGGGCCCCGGAGTTAGACTGCCCCTGTTTGAATTCTAGCTCTCCTTTTAGGCATTCATTTACTTAGTTTTCTTATGGTTTTAGCCCTCAGACTAGGTCCCCAGAAAATGACATCACCTTCCACAGGCCCCCCGTGGATGACAGGCCCCATATGCTGTAGGGATTGAGGGGAAAGAAGTGAGCTAGGGGTGTTGCAGCATCCACTTCCATGATTGGAGGGTCTCACTCAAAAGAGCCCGCCCCAAATAACTTTCTTGCTATTCTGCATCATCTCAAAATTCTATCATTTAGTTATGTTTTGGGCTGCATATGAAAGGGTGGGTCTGTGGTTAAAAATGTAATTTTTTTATGTTACTTTCCTGGGACTAAGGGTTACACATTTTGCAATTGTTAGCCATTAGCATTTTGAGTACATTTGTATTCTAGATTTGTGTACAGCTGGCGTCTAGCAAAGTCCAGTGGGAATGTGAAGCAGTATAGACAAGAACAGTTGGTGAGAGACAGGCTGTGCAAGGGAGGCCAAATGTACTCAGCCAAACAAAAATCTGGATACATGAATCTTGTGTCCTGTCTAGATAAGGGGCGTGGTTCTGGGAGATTTGTTGAGGTGTCCAGATAGAATGTCTGGAACATTCCCATAATCAATGGAGGCAGTGGGATATTTTTGAAATCGGGGCTGCCTTGAATTTCTGGTGTCTTCTCTTCCTAGACTCAAAGTGGGGCCAGTTTGTCCGGACAGCCCAGAGCACTGAGACTTTGGGTTGATGGGGGCGGCACTGAGCTGGCGCAATAGAGCCAGAGGCAGCAGTGCTGGGGTATTCGGTGGGGGGCCACCCGCTGGCCTACCATGTGGTTCCTTACTTCCGGGGTAGCGTGAGGCTTGAGGACACTGTCCGGGAGGCAAAGGACACCTGTTTCCAGACAGCAGGGGGCCTCAAAGACTCCGGCCTGGGCACTCACCCTTCGGTGGAGGCCGTTACTAGGGCCACCTTATTCGCAAGCAGGTCCCGGCGCGCCACCTTGGAGCTGGCCATCCGTATCGACTTCCACGACCGGGCACAGACGCCCAGCAGCTTATACATGGCTGTGCAGGGTTCTGCACCACCCCGAGGGAGGTGCGAGTGGCAAACCACCTCCCATGGCGTGCCCCGCTCCCATTTCCCAGCCGCCCTCGGGTTGCACAGCTCCTCCCTCTCTGCGCTGGCTCCCAGTGCGGGGAGCAAGCCGTGGCTGCGGGCGCCCCCTTCTGGCTCACAGCTGTCACGCCCCTCAGCCCCTCCGCTCGACTCTGGTTGGTGGGTGTGAGACTGCTGTGCATCCGGATTTCCTGCAGGGCCAGCCCTCCTGCAGGAACCCGCAGACTTCCTTGCACCCCCTCCTTCCGCAGTTGCCTGTTCAGGTCATTTTCCAGGGTCGGCGGTGGGGAGAGGCAGCTTTGAGTTTGTTGCTTTTGCTTCCTAGAACCTCAGAATGGACCACCTTCTCCAAAAAAGTCTGAGTCTAAATATGTGACAGCCCATAAGAGGGCAAACGATTTGAGATTGCCCATGGAGGTGAGGCCTGTGCTCCCCGTGGAGTAACTGCGTGGGGCTGGTGAGGGTGGAGGAGCCTGGGAGAGAGATGTGATGAGGAGCAGCTGGGTTAGTCCTGGCACTGCCCTTCGCTCTACCTCAATATCTCCTTCACTCTGACAGGCCTGGAGGGAAGACTCTGATCGCTGTGGTAACCAGTGTGCAGGGATGGAGATACTAGCTGGACAGGGCTTAGAACCAGTGGTAGAAACTAGGACTCAGGGGCACTCATTTCTCCACAATCACCAAGTCCCCAGGTCTTAGCCTCCATCCTAGTTCAATAAATATTCGTTGAATGTAAAAGCACTTTATAAACTGTAACTACTAAATATAGTAATTATTGCCTCTATAAAGTAATTATTACTGCTGCTACAGGCCAGACTCTTCATCTGTAAGCTGAAGATGCTGGAGTAGATGATAAATAAAGTCCTCTCCAGCTATAAATTCTGTGTTCCAGACTTTAGCCTCCACTCTGCCAAGTGGGCTGAAATGATCTCCCTCCTGGGTTTCTGGGAGAATAAATAAATCTGGGTGGCTTACGGTACACTGCAGAAAGGCCCTGGCAGACCCAAGTGCAGTGTCTGCATTGGTCTAACCCAGCAGCCTCAAAGCCAGACTGAGAAGTAGCGCTGACCTGTGGCAAAGTGTTCTCTAGTTCAAGGTTAAGTGAAGAAAACAAAGAAAACATAGTAAGTTCATAAAGCTAAGCTTATTTAACTTAACAGATACTCCTTTATTCTGAGACAGGCTTTTGCTCTTTTCTTTGTGTGTGTGTGAGTGTTCGTCTTTTTGTTAAGAAAAGACGATGAGAGCAGATAGGTAGGTTGAGAAAAGTGTTGGCGAAATCACCAGTTTGGCAACCTTATGTCAGTCCCTTCAATGAGAGGAGAGAGGATGCAGATCTGTGAAATTCAGTTTTAGGGATTGCTCTTTAACAGAATTTATACTTGCTAAAGATTTATTTAGTATATGTGTAGGTCAGTTGATCAGCTAAAAAAAGGGGGGGATTTTAGCAGTCAAAAGGGAGTGGTTGGGTAGCAAGTGATACAACAATATACAAGATTTATAGTATATTCCTCAACTGAGATGCAGTACTCAGCACACCCCAATGAGATAAGACAGCTTAAGTCTAATATTCCCCATATCCGGAGAAAACTGACTCTGACTGGTGCCCCTCAGTCTGAAACTCATGAATTATTGACAACAGGCGGGATAGTGTGACACTGCTCTTCCTCCTCCCCTGTTGGGAGCTAATGCACTGTGAGAACACTTCCCAGCACTGTCCACCTGTGTGGGGGCTGGAGGGAGGGTGTGTAGGAGGACTGGAGTGGGGGTTTCCAGGGCTTTTGGTTCAAAGGGACAGGCCTGCAGGGAGAATTTGATCTCTCCTCACCTCCTGCCCAAAGGTCTGCAGCCAAATCCAGGAGCTGAGGTTGTGGGGAGAGGGAGGAAGACCACACTCCAAAGAGCAAAGGATTCTGGGAAGAGAATTCTGTCTTGGTAGCTTCTTGAACATGGCCTCTCCTCATCTGGGCAGGGCTGAGATTTGGCCTCAAGCACCATCTGGGAGAGCACAGGCGACACTAGGGAGGGGATCTATGAAAAGAAAAGGGTAGAAGTGTGTGTGTGGGGGTCTCTAGCTTCTGCTGCTTATCAGGCTGCTTTATTGGACATGGGGGTAGGACATTTTGGGAGGAAATGCATGAGTCTGTTGGAGTCTCTTTGAAATGGGGACTTTAATAGGCAATGGGTTTGCTCTTGTATGGAGCTGGTACCATCTGCAGATCTTGAAGAAATGCTTCTGTGATTGAGGATCATACTCCTGTCTTCTTCAAGGGTCAACTGTGGCCCAGAAAGAAATTCATCTGGAATGGAATTTAAGTCTTGGGCTTTGCTATATCCATCCTAGATTGGTTATTGGTTCATGTATCATCTTTGACACAAGTCAGGATTGAGTAGTGTGGGAGGGCCGAGGATGGCGACTTTCATTGCATATTTACTAAATGCAGGCAAAGTTTGGGTGCTTTCTACAAACTGTATTGAATATGTCCAATTCAGTGAGGTAGGCATTTTTATTTCCATATGTTAAATCACAGTGACTCATGACAATCTGACTCCCTGTCAGTTTCAAATAGCTACATTTAACTTTTCCGATGTTGTTGGAGAATAACAATTTTCTTAGAAATTAACTTTCTCTGAATTGGAATTTTACTTTCATCACCAATGTGTTTTTGTTTTGGTCATTAAAACATCCATTCTTTAAATCATAAAATAACACATGTTCATAATTTAAAAAATTTTTAAAAAGATTTTATTTATTTATTTTTAGAGAGGGAAGGGAGGGAGAGAGAGAGAGAGAGAGAGAGAGAGAGAGAGAGAGAGAGAGAGAGAGAGAGAGAGAAACATCAATGTGCAGTTGCTGGGGGCTGTGGTTTGCAACCCAGGCATGTGCCCTGACTGGGAATCGAACCTGTGATGCTATGGTTCACAGCCCGCACTCAATCCACTGAGCTACGCCAGCCAGGGCCATGTTCATGATTTTAAAAATAGAGGGATATGAAGTGAAAATTAAAAAAGTAACTCTTCCTTATGGCTTCTTTTACCTACTGTGCATATAGCACTTCATCTTATGTATTCTTCCAGAAACTTCCTACAAATTTACGTGCATTTTCCCCTTAAAAATGTTCCCATGAATGGAATGACAACGTACTTCACTAGTCCCTTCAAATCGCTGGTTTCTTTTCTTTCTTCTTTCCCCCACTTCTTTTGTTTCTTAAAATACATTCTCAGAGACAGGTCTGAGCGGTGCACAATAGATCTCCTCTGTTCTCTCTCCCTTTAAAAATAGCTGTGCAGTTGTCCGTGGTGTGGGTATTCCATAATTTATTTAGCCAGTCTCCTACTGATGAACATTTAGGAAGCTGCCAGTGTTTTGGTATTTCAAACACTGCAGTAACGAACAACCTTGGATGTACTGTGTGTGTGTGTGTGTGTGTGTGTGTGTGTGTTGCAAACCTGTTTGTACCTTGGATCAAATGTTTTAAATGGATGACTATGGTCAAATTACCTTGAAAAGCAGTCCTGCTTTGATTTGTTTTTCTACAGTGAATTTATCTTCTGTCCCGCCCTCTTACACATTGACGTAGAAAGGTTTCAACTTCAGATGATGGTGTAAGCCTACCCTGACAAGTGTTGGCCTACCCTGACCTCAGTGGCTGGGAGCCAGTGAGGGATGGTGGGTCCCGCTGACCTGTATCTCACAGAACTGAGGCATACTCAGCTTCACCCACGTTTGATATTGAGAATGCCAGCCTAGCATTGTTGGATCTTAAGGATTTTTAAACAAAAGGTAGAATCTGGATTTCCATATGAAATATTTGATGTTTAATGGTTGACAAGTAATTTATTTAAACAACAACAACAAAACAAAACAGTGAATGGGTTTGTGGGTGCCAGAGACTGACACAGTCTCTTGGCTATTTAAATGTAATGGATTATTAGTTTTGTGAGATATTGCTCTATTTACAATCTCATAATTCTGTTGAATAGCTTATTCAATTTCTGGGTTTTTTTTTTTCAGTTTTTTGTCCTGATGGCCCTATATTTAGGTAGGTGTGTGTGAACATTGTTTAGAAATCATCCATCCAGTATTTGTATAGGTCTTTTACAGGAACTCTATACAGCAGCAAGCGAAAGGTTCTTAAAGACAGGCTCATCTTTTCCCTCAGGCCAGGATTGCTTCCCACTGCTGTGTTTGGGAAGGGTTATCCCTCCGTCTGTTTGCACCGCAGTTGGCTCCCTCTTGGGTCTCAGTCCTCTGCTGCCTTCTGGGAAATCCAGGAGTATAAGCGTGGTGTGGTTTCTGGGTGGCAGCTGGGATGCAGGGACAAGGTGGGGAAGGCCACACTTTCCCAGCTGCCTTATCCCTTTAATTCCTCACAATGTCATTGGACCAAGAGATTCACTAAAGATCTGAGGGTGGAGTGAAGTACAATACAGAGGGACAAATCCTCCAACTAGGATACCTAATAAGACTTCCCATTGGGTCCTTTATGGGCACAATTAAATTCCTAGCCCTGTTCTCAAAACTGGGATTTCCCCTCTTTCCTCCCTTAGTCCCTGTGGCAGACACGGAGATGCAGATAACAGCTCTCAAAACCATCCTTCTGGAAAGAACCTGGTTGGCTGCTGGGAGTTCGATTGGCAGTCAGCCTCCAGCTGACAGCTAACTCCTTCTCAGGGTGGCCCCAGCCAGTGACTGAGCACGATGTGGTACAAGGACCTCATCCTTTTTGGCTAACACGAGGCTCCTCTAACGGTCCTGTTTGCTTTGGAGCTCGTGTTGGCGTCTGTCAGGTTTGCTTCCTGTGGTCTAACGGTTCCTCCTTTTCGATCCTGCTTCCTCCTTTTTCCTTTCCCAGGTGTTACTCTGACTAAACCCTTAGACTCCTAAGTCCAATCAGGCATCTGCGTTGGCGAGGACTCACAGAGAGTCTCCTTTCTTCAGAATCTTTCCAGTGCAGGACCCCTCCCCCTACTCCCCACCCCCTGGCTCCCTGCACATAGGGATGGAGTCCAAGGATTGGTCTTTTTCTCCCCATTCAGAGATTCAGGGCAATCTGAAGCAAA